CGCAAAGCCTTAGACGCAGGAACTGACCCATATCTCTCTATCCTCGATTACCGAAACACACCAACACAGGGGATGGAATCAAGCCCTGTACAGCGACTGATGAATAGGCGAACGCGAACTCTACTGCCAACAACCAAAGCCCTTTTGGAGCCGCGAACAACCCGCCCAGACCAAGATATCAAAGACTTGAGCAAGCGACAACAGCAACAGTCTAAGTATTACAACCCCCACACCCGTGCTCTAACCCCACTTGATAAAGGGGATGTTGTACGAATGAAACCCTTCCAGTTAGGATCCAAGGTGTGGAAAAAAGCGACAGTTGCATCGCGACTTGACGAACGATCCTATATTGTTGAAACGGCAAACGGAGAGACATACAGAAGAAACAGATTCCACCTAAAGAAAAGCAAGGAGAACGCAGAGACTCCTGAACCAGAAGTTACGCCACGAAGCCCTGAACCTTCACCATCAAAGACTACTACCTCAACGAACGGCGCAGCACCTATTCCTGAAATCCCCGCTCCTGCAGCGCCACCAGCACGACCACAACGAACACGACGACCTCCTGTATACCTGAAGGATTATATCCAAAAATAGACTCGATCCTTAAGGATCACAAACATAATTAGATTTCAAGATTTTGCTATTTAAACATTAAGAAGTAATAGATGATTATTGATTCAACGGATGATTTAACTATGATTATTTTCTGATTCATAAACAATAGCATGGACCCTATGATAGATTTAATATTTACAAACATTTTAATAAAAGGGGAAGGATGTTACAATAATTAGCTCATTACGTATCAAATATCACTTGTATTAAGTTTTAGTAAAGACATATCAAAAACTACTGTCTGTGATTTCATCCGATAAATAAAGACTATTGAAACATATCATGCAAGAAAATCGGTCAGAAACTCGCAAAGATTTTCAAGTTTAAAATCTTAGTTTTCCAAAAATAATGAATAATGGCGATTCTGTTACAAAGAAAGATTTTACAGCAAGTTGTAAAAGCAAGAAAAGAAGAGGTTTCTGAATCAACTACAACGAAAATTTGGCATGAAAGGAAAGCGAATGTATTGACATTTTGGGGCCAAGTTTTTCTGTGAACCATGCGCGAGATTTTCAGCCAAAAAGATGAGGATTTCTCCAAACTTTATTAAAAATAGAAGTCGGAAATCACAAGAAAGATGAACACGGAACACAAGTGAGCAGATACGATTTTTTAAAGGGTATTTTTGAGTAGAAATATGCGATCAAACACTCACAAAATTCGACTGCATTAATGTTGGTTGAATCTAGTTTAAAGTTATCTTTTTAGACAAACTGTTTATGCAAATTTGGGCACAATTTCGACTGTTTTCGTGACCCCATTGTTGGTCTTCTTGTTCAAGTTGTTATTTTAGCTAAAGTATGTTTCAAACGACACCAGATTGTGCGTACGTGACCTTTTTGGCAAGAATACTTTGAGTATTAAATTACTAAATAAGTAGGATATTCCAAAGTCACTGTTATATCTATTTTCATCAATTTAGTCTTAAAATGACAACTCGTTTCAGACATATTGTGGTTTAAAATAAGTGTATTGAATAAATGCACTTGCTTGCCGCGTGCGAATTCTCAAAAAGTCCGCACTTGAGTTGTAAAGCTTTCAAAATGCTTTTTTACTGGTTTTTTATATCCCCTATAAAACTTTAAATCGATAAAGCAGATAATAATGTTGATGAAACATCATTTTCTAGTAACTACACATCAGAAGAAAAAGTTATCAAAATAGGTCGCAACGGTTGTTTGGCAAAATGTCTGAAATGGCTTCCTTTGCGGGAAGCCATGAAATTGCAGTCCTAACAAAAAGTAACCTTAGCAGTTCTTTTGGGCCCATTGCTCACTTATTTATCATGGAAAACTTTGTAATTTTCTGAACTAAAAGTTTATGGTTTCGAGGTGTTTATTTTGTAAAATAGCACACGCGCGACAAAATGGCACTTTTGTGGTTTCTCACATCTGACAAACAATCAAACATGAAAGTCCTTATTTCACCTTTTGAAAATAAGATCAAAGATGAAAGTCCCTATTTCAGCCATATTGAAAATAAGTAGATTCTAGTACCATATGTCCTTATAAATATATTTGAAGTAATTAAAAACTTGAAAGATGTACAAGCACTGTGTTTTGGCTTGCACACTTTGTTGAATTTGAACACTTAGTTACTGTTCTAAATTTCATGTTGTAAACATCTTGCCCAAAAAAGCAAAGGAGTATTTTTTATAATTTTTGATCATTTTCTAATTCATATCCCAATAGATGAAAATTGGTTATAATATAGATATGTACTAATTTAGTAAATAATTTTTTTTTTGGTTTTTATATAAATATATGGAGATATTGCCCCTTTAGGTGATGAGTGACATGAAAAAAATAGTGTCACTGGTTTACAAATAAAAATTGTCATTGAAAAAACTAATTATATATATAGGTATGCAAGTTCATTTAAACTAAATTTGGTCAATCATATATTAATATTTGGTTGAAAAGACCAGATTTTTTCATGCAACTGTTTCTGAGATATTGCCATTTTGGTGAAAGCTCTTGAATTCAGTCACATATTCGCCATATTGCTTGCATGTTAGGGGGGTAGAAACATTGTAACAGCTTGCGCGTTAATGAGTTAATAATAAATGGGTCTATCAAATCAATCCCACAGGATTTATTGGGGTTAAGTTCTGAGATAAGTTTAGTTATTTCATCTTCATTAGTTTCAAACAGTACAAACGAGTGCATGTAAGATCATTTAAGGTAGTGAGTAAAATTACCAGACCAATTAGGAATTACTTTTGCTAGATTAGCACCAATGTTGGCAAAGTATTTGTTGAAAGTATTGGAGATTATCTGAGGGTCAGCAGTCTCAGTATCATTGAAATTGAATGATTCAGGGTAAATAGTTTTAGATTTTGGTTTTCGAGTAAGGTCATTAAGGATTCTCCAAGTTTGCTTGAGATCAGATTTGGCAGTTTCAAGTTTCATTGCAAAGTAATGCTTTTTTGCGATTTTGAGAAGATGATTCAATTTGTTCCTATATGATTTAAATTTTTGTTCATTGGGTGAATTCCTTTCTTTTAAGAACTTTTTATACAATTTGTTTTTAACTGTAATTGATTTAATCAATCCTTTTGATATCCAAGATTTACGAGCCCGTGTTTTCCTTATTTTTCTTTTTTTGAGTGGAAACGTTTGTCATAAAAGTCATTAAACTTATTAAGAAAAATATTATAGGCAATATTCGAATCAGTGGATTCATAAACTGTTTCCCAATTGAGGGAACCCAAGTTAACTTTAAACTTGTCAATATTTTCTTTGTCTATCAGCCTAGAAGTGGAATATTTGTTTGGGGATACATGACTTCTTGCTTTTAGGTCTGAAATATGAAATATAGGTAAATGGTCAGAAATATCAGTAATTAAAATGCCAGAATCGGCAGAATGTTCATAATTGTTTGTAAAGCAGTTGTCTATAAGTGTTGCTGTATAACTGGTAATCCTGGTGGATCGAAAGATAGTTGGACAATAAGAATACAAAGTCAAAATTTCAAAAAACTCGCTGGTTATCGAGTTTTCTTCCATATTTAAAAGATTAATGTTAAAATCACCCATAAGATAATTTAATTTATTCGACTTATTAAGATAATTAAGGGTTTTGTCAAGATAATCATTAAACAAACTTATGTCTGCATTAGGAGGCCTATAGATTATACCAATTGCAACCTTATAGTTGTTTATTAAAAATTCAATAAATGACTGGCATATGTTATCGTCATTAATACCAAGATCAGTTAATTCAACGAAATCAATGTTGTCCCTAATATAAAGAGATATAAAGAGCAATGCCTCCACCCTGTCTGTTAATATGGTTATATGTTATTAATTTATAATTATCAAGCTCACACTGAGCTATGTTAGTAGATGTCAGCCAAGTCTCAGAGACACCAATTATCGAAAAAGGAAACTGTAACAAATTAAGGTAATTTGTAAATTTATCAAAATTATGCAGGAGACTACGAGCATTGAAATGAATAAGTGAGAATTGATCTTCAATCTCGAAAGTGAGGCTCTATAGCCAAGGCGACATACTTTCTGGAAGCTTGTATTACCCTTTACCTTTGAACAATTTTTATCAAATGACACACAAGCCATGTTTACAGTTCATGGCATAGTTTTGTTTGTTATAATAGGATAATAATACACAAAATTTCTCTATATTCACATACATTTTTAAAACAGCTGGATTACCAATACAAGTCAATGCTTATACAATGACATTAAAAGCATGAAAGCACTAGGAAGTCTCGAACAATTCATTGTCAGAACAATTCATTCAATATTGAGCATAATACAGTACAGTCACATCCTCATTCCCATGGTCTTTCCTTCTGTATGATTGTCGTAAAATAATCCAAGATACTGTAGTTAATTAGAAATCTGCTAGTTTTGCAGATTTTTAGCAGATCATGTGACCAGCATCTTTTCTTCTCTCTCCAAGAGGTAAGACCCTGGGTACAAGGTTGGATGAAGTCACACAAATGATCAAAATCCTACAACTTTTACTGTACATGTACAGTAGACAAGTAATTAATTGGCTTGTCTAGTTTTCTGGAAGTCAGTTCTCTATAAGGATTTCCATTCAGTGCAAAATGCCAATGTCACATCAGTTGCAGATAAAATGCACAATTGTGACAGCTGATAATTCAGCAAAAAACAATCACAAAACACTGATCATGCAACCTTTTGCACTGAGTGCAAATCAGTGAGAAACACTCATAACAAGAATAAACTAACAAAACAAGATATACAATAAATAGTACATGAAAGAATCTTCATGCTATGGGGCATAAAAAATATCTGTGGTTCTGGTTCCCAACTGACCCTATTTTTTTCTACCGACCCTATTATTTTTTTCAACGCGATTGACCGTGCGACCCTATTGTCTCCAGGTGGTTGCCAGGTGTAATTATTGAACCAAATTGCCTAAATTCATCCATAGGAAATACGCATCACTAGTTAATATTGATATCGGGACTCTACTGCAAATTGCCCAGCAGAAAACCGACAAAACCATGAAAAAAATTATTTTAAAAAAATTTCCGACCTACCGACCCTAATTTTTTCACTATTTGAAACCGGAACCACGGTTTTTTTTTACGCCTGGGTATTCTTTCTGGGTTTTGATTTCCATTGATATTATATTACAGTACAACATCATATTATATTATGATCATTAAAATTTATTATATTTTAATGATAATTTCATTGTGCCCTCGAGACATTGCAGAGCTTTTCAATGATTACTTCACCTCTGTTTTAAACAAAAACGACGACCTAATCGATTCAACTACTCTTCCCTCAACTACCCAATGCGAACCTACTACGTCAGAATTGAATCTTTCTCCCGAGGATGTTTTGGTTTGTCTGCGAACGCTTGATGTCAATAAAACAACAGGTCCTGATGGAATTTTGCCCAGACTACTAAAAGAAACCGCCCACTAAATAGCTCCATCGCTATCCACTCTATTCAATCGATCCCTCGATAGTGGCTCTCTACCAGAAGAATTGAAACTGGCTAACATCATACCAGTTTTCACGAAAGGTGACAAATCCTTTGTTGAGAACTATCGTCCCATATCGCTCCTCTGCGTTGTATCGAAAGTCTTCGAGCATTGCGTGTTGAACAAGCTGTGCGATCACCTGTTTACAGCTACTAAACTTGTCACAACATGGCTTCACCCCAGGCAGATCATGTACCACCCAGCTTGTTGAAGTGCTGAACTACATCGGTTCTCTGTTAGACTCCGGGAAACAAACTGACGTTATCTTCATGGACATGTCAAAAGCATTCGACAAGGTCAGTCATACTGCTCTTGTTAACACACTTGCAAACTACGGTATTAGAGGGTCTCTGCTTAATTGGTTTTCACACTATCTACATGGCCGCCAACAACGTGCAACTACTCTCGGTGCGACGTCTTCTAAAAAACCAGTTTCTTCGGGAGTGCCTCAAGGCAGTATTTTAGGGCCAATTCTATTGCTCCTCTACGTTAATGATCTTCCTGATGCTGTTGAGAACTCAAAAGTGGCTTGCTTCGCTGACGACACCAAGGTATTCCGTTGCGTCGACTCTATCTCCGATGCTGCACAGGAGTGATCTGAGTAACTTAGAAAATTGGTCTACATCCAGAGGTCTTGTCTTCAACCAGCTCAAATGCAAGTGTCTGCGAATGACTAGGAAAACCCAGCCTACTACTTATCCATATAAGATCAAGGATAAGGAACTCACAACAATGTCGGTTGAGAAGGACTTAGGAATTTGGGTTGCCAGTGATCTCACATGGACCAAGCATGTCTTAGAACGTTGTGTGAAAGCCAACAAACTGCTTGGTTTTCATGAGAAGCGCTGGAGAAATATCCAACTCACGGACCCACCGGAGACTGTATCTCTCAGTTGTCCGCCCGGTTTTTGGCTACGCATGTCAAGTATGGTCTCCCCAGACTATAGTTCTAATTAGACGAATAGAACGTGTACAGAGAAGAGCGTCAAAATACATCCTGAACCTTCCCTACTTGTGCGATGAGTCCTACCGCGACAGGCTGATCAGTTTGGAACAGATACCACTATCATACTGGCACAAGTATATGGATCTTGTGTTTTTCTTTCAAGCTGTAAACGGTCTGATCGACATATCTAAAGATGTTCTCCCTCAACCTATTATTCCCACCCGAGTTACCCGATCATCCAGTACCACTGAGTTGTTGTTTCGCCCACAAAAATGCAGAACTACCACCCTCCAAAAATCATATTTCACCTGAGCCACAAGAGTTTGGAACTGTCTTCCAACAAACTTAAGACAGCCAAATATGTTGTGAAGTACATTTAAAAGATTGCTGCCGAACTATTATTTGGAAGCCCTGCATAGTTGTTATGATGCAGAGGATCCAAAAACGTGGAAATCTGTGTGTTTAAACTGTAACTCTTGTCGTAGTTTGAACAGTGCTATATATTGTTGTTTCTAGTTATTATATATTAAAAGGGCCCACAGTAATTGGTTTTAACTGTTGTGGTGTCCCAGCCATCTGACTGTATGTATTGTACTGTACTTAACTATATATATACTGTACTGTCTTGTGTTAGATTGTATCGTTTTGTTTTTTGTATTGTACTGCATTGATTTTTTTTTTTTTGGTTTTTTTTTATTGTATGGTATATCTAAATGGCAAAGTTATATAAATATAAATAAATAAATAAATAAATATACCACATTGTGCTGCAATCGTGAGGTCATTGTAGCCAAATGATGGCAGTGTTGGATTATCACTAAACCGACCTCTTGCTCTCTGGTGTCCAAAATACTCTTCCAAAGGGTCCTGGCAAAATTTTCAGATAGTACAAATTCACAACCTTCTGAAAGCAGAAACCTTACAACCTCAATTATTGAATTTACAGTTATCTTCATCCCTTTGTATGTTTGATGCAAGATGAACATCTTTCCTCTTTCATCACTTGTAAATGCACCCGGTCGTTCTTGGACTCTCTTGTACCAGTCCTGAAGCTATGCAATGATACATTTTGTAGCCAATCAAAACGACTATCATCGAGACTAGTGTATTCAGCTAGAAACTCATTCCGCTTTCTTATGTGCTCAGTAGTTGACCGGGTATTGCGACAGTCAAAAAACTTGTTGACCATCTCACAAAACTTTGCAGTTTCCCCAGCATCTCCTTGGGGGTAGCGCCGATGAAGTGCCATAGCAACTGTGTTGCTCATCACTTGCGCAGCCAGACGAACCTTCATTTTGAGAAATGAGGTAAGATTTATGAGGTCAACTGTTAGCTTGGGTAGCTGATGCAGGTCTTGTTCTAAATCAGCATGGTAAAGTGCAGCTATATGATTCCATATCATATTTTACCATTCCACATTAATCTTGTATGTTTCCCTGTACCCGAATTGAAAAGGCAGTTCCTTGCTGCCTTGAGTAAATAGAAGCGTCAGAGAAGAAGTAAATGAATCGTGTTGGAGCAAAGAGATTGACTGTTCGATATACAAAATCAACTTTGTACTCTTCCCCAACAAGCCCAGCATGTAGCTCATAGAACTTCCTATTTGGCGACGTGCCATCACTGACAGCAGCACATACCCATAAATTGCACCCTAACTCAAGAATGGAAATAGCCTTCCAAAACAATGGCATTAATTGGTAAGCTGTAACATTCTCAGTGCTTATATATCCAAGGATATATTTCAGGTCACTTGCAACACCCCTGACCATGAATGCTAAAACATGACTTACAAGGGTAGTAGGTGAGTCCAGAGCTGCCAAATTAACATCATCATCATTAACATCATCATCACCAAGATCAACGAAACCGATGAGTTCATTGCTGTGTTTGTCAAAAACTAAATTTGACTGAATTTTCACTTGACAAATGACAATACAACATATCTCTGCACATCAAACAGTTGATTGGTCTGCTCTCGTAATTGGGTAACATTTGCTTCATTGAAACCAGGTTTTGGTTTGAAGAAGTTCCTGTAGTCCCTTAAAATCCGTTCACTCAGCAACACTAAAACACCAGATGATACCAGTTCTCGGTATGCTGATGGTGACTTGGAGTGTAAGGAGAGGCAAAATCTGATAAGGTGGGGATGATATCTTCGACCAAACTTGGGGGATACCAGAAGTTTCTTCTGCTGTTGCCAGAACAAGTTCATATGGGGCAAAGTTTTAAGATCACTCTTATCCAAAATACTCAAGATGTCATCTTCAAGAGTTTTATTGATCTCAATACTGTTAGAACGAATCTCCCTGTGCATATTCACAAGCTGGCTCTCGACATCTTTACACCTTACATGTTGGTGCTGGATGGTGGCAATCAACCTTTCTTTGCTGCAGCAGGTCAAAGGAGCTTTATCTTTAACAGCTGTTGCTTTCAGTGCAGATTTCAAAGGCACCTTTTTTGTTTAGCTTCGAAAAGGCTCAAACAACTATGACAGGAATCTTGGTCTGCTAAATTGAACAATACTGCACAATTCTCTGACCTGGCAAACACCTTAACTTTGAATGGTAGACCATCATCACAATACAACTCTGGAGCAATGGCTACAGAGTGCTTGGTAACTTGCGAAATATCAACAATAGGATCAACTGCATGTAAAGTTTCAGGCAAACCAGGACAAACAGAAAATGACTGGACTACTTTACAAAATGATGGCACAGATATATCAAACAAAGAACTTTATGTTCATAATAAATCTCATGGGTGTCAGGCAAAAACCGACCAAAGACAGCTATAGAAAACCCAAGACCAGAATCCACTCTTATCGAATATAATGGTAGTGCATGTTCAGAGTCAAAGTAATCCAGCATAATTAATTCCTTTCTGGACAACCCAGATAGTTTTACACGAGAAATTACACTTTTAAAATTGTCTAAATGTTTATATACCTTCGATTTTATGCCACTAGTGGAGGGCTTCAATAGGCATTTCATGCCTTTCATTTTTTCTCCTTGATTGTGTCTCTGAGTCAAACAATTTTTTTTGAAAATTTAAAGTTGGTATTGCCCCAGGAGTCAATCTTTTACGAGTAGAATCTGCAACATAAACAAAGGGCCATTCAAGGATTCATACATCATACATTTCATATATTATACAAGATTTTATATTTGGTCATGCATCGATTAATATGACAAATTAAAAAATTTTATGTATGCAAATGAAGAAAATATTAATATATTAATATATTCATAATGTTTGTGAGACTTACGTTTTTCAATAAACCTTTCCTCGAAATGTTTTTTTTCAGATGGGCAGTGTACACGCCTCAATTTGCCATCTTAAATCCTGGTGTATAACACGATTTCTTGTTATTTGTCTTATCCACTCTTAACAAGCTTTCCAAGATAACACGTCTTCCCCTTTAGGCAACGCAAAAATACCTATTCCAGTAGTTTTTCCAACTAGTATTCCAGACAAAAATGGTGCAGTTAGCGCCCCGGCATAAGCAACAGCGGCGAAATGAAGCAAGAATTTTTTTGAAATACAATATGGCTCCATATTGTTTCTATTCATCAATGGCACCTTCGTTGTGACGTCACAGCCATAAATCAGAACAATAACATAATTCGTCACATGACCCATCTTTCCTAATCATGTCTGTGTTTCTATTAACTATGATTTAAATGATCCTGGTAAAACACAAGATCTTCTGCCAAGAAGAAAAACAAGCAAAAAGCTTTTGCAGGCTAAATGCAGAGTTGTTTTAAAAAAGGTAAACAGATTGACTTATTTGTTAAAGGATACGCCAAGCCTTGAGAAACTTGAAGGTCAACTTTAAAGATATTTAAAGAAACTGAACAATTGGTCAAATCAAACAACAGCATCATTTTGGAAAGTGAGACTGGTCAGAAAAAAAGAAGAGAAAGGCAACAGCATCTTCAACGAATGACAAGGGAAATATGAGGAAGAAATTACCAAACAATTCCATTTGCCAAACGAGTCGGATACCGTGCAGAAATTATGAGGAAGCAATACAGAGTAAACATCCCTGTAAACAAAGTTCCTGCCAGGATGATTCCCAAATATGTAAAAAATCCACCAAAGAAAAACCGAGTTGTGACCCCAATCAGTATGGAGCAATCCCTAAATCATCGACGATTTTTGCTCTTCTTAGTATGGTGCATAACTGGACCTCCGGGCTTGATGGTACCGGTTCTACAACTAGAATCATTCTATTCGATTACCAAAAAGCTTTTGATCTAATTGATCACAGAATTTTGTTCAATAAACTACTTCAGTTAGATCTACCACGAAGTGTTATAAATTGGATCATTGATTTCTTAAGTAACAGATTCCAAAAAGTCAAACTTTCACAAGGATGTTTTTCAGATTGGGGTGCAGTACCTTCGGGCATCCCTCAAGGCACCATTTTAGGTCCATGGCTCTTTTTAATCCTGATAAATGATTTATCCATCACAGATACTGACTTATGGAAATACGTGGGCGATACCGACAGTATCGGAAACAGTTGACAAAAACCAACAGAGTAGAGCACAGACAATTGCTAATGAGATGTCACAATGGTCCCAAAACAATAAAATGAAGCTGAATGAAGAGAAATGTAAGGAGCTCCGTATTTCCTTCTCAAAAGTCCCTCGTGATTTTAACCCGATACTTATTAACAATAAAATATTAGAGTCGTAAAATCTGTTAAACTTCTGGGCTTGTCATTCGATAATAACCTGACATGGAATCTACATATCGAAGAGGTAGTTAAAAAAGTATCCAAACGAATCTATTACCTGATCCAACTCAAACGGGCCAGTATTCCTCGGAATGATCTGGTTCTATTTTATGTTACATGTATTCGATCTGTTATCGACTATGGTATCCCTGTCATTTACTATTCGTTGCCAAAATACTTGCGTTCCGAATTGGAAAGATTACAAAAAAGAGCTATTAGAATCATCTGTCCAAACACTAATTACGAAGACGCTTTAATTAGTTGTGGATTGGAGTCACTGTCTGTTCATCATGAAAATATTTGTACTAGTTTATTTCAAACAGTAGTTGCTGATGAAAATCATAAGTTACGAAGTTTACTGCCACCTATACATACTTCTTTTTATGATTTAAGAAACGATAGGAAATTTGAAATTCCTAGATGTAACACTAATCGTTTTCAAACTAGTTTTTTTGTGGCTTCGTGCCGCAAATCATTTATCTAATGCTATTGAAATGACCTAATATTTTTAATAATTTTAAATTTTTTTAGTATATTAAAGTAATAAACATCTTGTATATATAATATTTATATGGAATGTCATCATAATGGCTTGATAAACTCTTCTTTTATATTCTCGTAATTAGTTAAATTTACTTGTAAAAAAAAATATGCAATTCAGCCTATGGCTGCGAAGTATTTTATTAAATCTATCTATCTATCTATCTTTCTAAAAAAAAAAAAATATGGGTTCCTTCCCTTTGGCTTAGAAAAGAAGATGAGGACATATTGCAAACCAATCATGCATGGCTAAATGACCGTATCATTAACTCTGCTCAAGACCTTATACCCCAACAGTTTCTAAATGTCAAGGGTCTAGCAATTTCATTACATGTAGCCAATAAGAAATCACCACCTTGTCCATCAACAGCAATATGTGGTATCCAAATACACCATTCTGGTAATATGCACTGGGTAGTTTCAAGTGTATCTGGTGGGAATATAACTGTGTACGACTCAATGAAACCATCTATTTCATCAACGCTTGGTTGTCAGCTTCTATATGTTTACCGTGACAGGACAGATGAACATCAGCCGGTTAGAGTGAAAGCTTGTATGTGCCAGAACCAGATAGGAGAAAGTGATTGTGGCCTTTTTGCAATTGCAAATGCTCTTACCTTGGCAAAAGGAATTTCTTTGAAGAATCTAGTGTTTTTTTCAATCACAGATGTGAAGCCATTTGCATTAATGCTTCCAAATTGTTGACAATTCCACATAAATTAACTGAAAATAATGTAATTGAAGCAGTCTTTTATAATATCATAGAATATAAAATACTGTAATATAAAATACTATATGTAGAATATAAAATATTATATTTATAAATTGTACACATACAAAGTAAACATGTATTGTTATGGGAGGGGATAACCCTATGTACTGTGCCAGACACAGGGTCTGATATTTGCAGTATCCCGATATTCACACAATACCAAAAATTTGGTTTTGGGTACCCAAACCGTGACTGACTGGATACTAAGAAAAGTTCAAACATTAAGTAAATGTTAAACACCTTTGACGGGCTCCTGATAGCTTTTGAATACTATCAATTTGCTGCCAGCCTTTCCTCATTAGCATATCTATTAGAAGTTTGTTGAATGATTACTGTATGTACAATTTAATGTATTAATGAATTGTTTAGTTGTTGACTGGCGAGTCTCCTGTTGTTATTGTAGTTTGTAACAGTGAGAGTTATGAAACTTATTTGGATGGGACAGGGTATAATACTTATGGTACCGGTAACCAGAAGTGGGATACTGGATTCTCAGGGAGGATACTAAACTTTGAATCCTGGTATCCCAGTTGGATACTAAGAAAAAATATAAATTTTAGACCCTGCACATTGCTAGTATCTTATGGTTCAAGTTTTGTTACAAAACAAACTTTAGTCCAATATATTGCTAAAATTAGAGATGTGCTGGATCCAGATACCACTCACATCAGACATCTGACAATTAAAGTTTTGCTGGATGTATACTGGATAGTACTGGAACTTTATTAACCATGAAACTGAAAATTGTTTCCTTTGATTTTTGTGTGTGTTAAAAATCTGAAACAGGAGTAATTACTGGGCATGTGCCATGCAGAGAATGTTTGCATGATGTAAACTGCTGTAGTAGATTGCCTGCTGACCTCTGTGCCAATGGAATAGATTAATTATGGGAAAAGGAAAAATAGTAAAATATTGTCCATGACTCCACGTAGCATTCAGTATCCACTTATTACAATGGAATCCAGTTATCATTTCTCCCACATTGGTGACCAGTAGACTACAACACAGTACCATCCGGTATCTGGCAAATCACTAACCAGTATATCCCAGTACTTCCAAACAACTTATCAAGTTAACTTAATACTAAATGTAAATACACATCACCATGAAGTTAATGTTCAGTAGCTGAATATTTGCGTTAGCTTATATTTATAATCAGAGACAAATGCTGGGATATTTAATACAAGCATTTAGGTCTACCACTGTATTTCAGACAAAGATAGAGATTTTAGTATGCTTTAAATGTGTCAAAGAAATTAATAGCATTTCCTGCATTTGGATTGTATTTTGGGGTTTTCATACTCAATTCTTTTCCAATATTTACAGATTAAAAAATTGAGTAGCAGAATTATTTTTGCAAATTGGCTTTATCATAAAAAGGCATTTAGAGAGGTTCAGATTTGACTATACATACATCTCACTGGCCAATTAGTGTACCAGGAACACTACCAGGCTACTACGCAACTACGCAGGGGCAGCAGAAACTGCGAGGCATGCGAGACATGATGCGAGGCAGTGAGGCACAATGCGAGGCATGATGCGAGCCTTGATGCGAGCCTTGATGTGAGGCAGCGAGGTGTCATGCGAGGCATGGTGAAAATCATAACTAACATGTTTAAAGTGCCTACGAAATCCAAAATTTAATGAGAGTGAAAAAATACATTACAGCCTTAGGTGGTGGAAGGCCGAACCGCTACTTTCTGAATTCTACAGTATATTCTATTGTATATTCTGTAAAAAGCAGGAATAATTCTGTAAGCAAAACAACGTTGAAATTTTTCGAGAAATACGTCAAGGGCGTCACAATGAATATTGTCGACCTTAAAAGCCATGTATCTCAATTAAACTTCAAACTGCTTGATACAATGGGATACGTATACATGATTTAATCATTTCTAAGGACTCTGTCACTTGTTCCTCACCTGTATTATGTACTGACATGTGCCATCATCGGACTTGGATCTTACTTAAGATTTTTGACTTCGACAAAACAGAAGCATTAATTTATAAGAAGCATTTTTCAACCAATGAATGGTCAAAAATTGTACAGGCACTCTCTCCTCCGCAGAGGCTTAAACGAAGTTTCTAGTGAGGGAAAAGTGAGCATGCAAGGAGTGATGGGAAGAGCTAAATAAAGGAAGCCTCTGCGAGTTATGCAATCAATATGGCGTCGTATATAATAGTTTGTAGCGAAGTTCGATCAACCATCGAGGTGTTAAAACATGTTTTCGACTTTCATTTTCAGGCGTACTTGAGTATCCTGGGGTGAATTTAATATCAATATCTTCCTCCGTCCATTTGCATCGAAAAATATTGAGAAATTGCAAACGAATATCAATGAATACGATCTATGTAATTATAAATATCCTCTTAATTGCAACATTTCTTTATAAAAATGACTCTGTTGAACTTCGATACTCATATTATGTCGATTCATTTCAATTTCTTTCACATTTCCGTCGATTTCAAGTTTAAAAAAGGTCAAACAGCTAGTTTGGTTCAAAAACCATACTTCGTCGCATTATCTGGCAGAGCCTCCCCAACTTCATTTCAATCTTCCCATCACACAGCGCATGCCCACTTTTATTCAGGAAACTTCATGTAGTTATTTGTAAATACTTAAGGAGGCTCTGCGGAGGAGAGAGGTACAGGCATTCCCTGACAAAGTTCCACTAGCACAACTGCCTGCGTCCAAAGATGAACAACGCTACCTTGTAAACGTACGCCATTCAAACCGAGATGCAAAATGTGCAACATGTAAAAAAACGTTCGGGAGACATACAGACGACAGAAGGTCCGTACAGAACTGGCATACTGCGTAACTGGATAACACACACACATTCTTTTTCTGTCCGAAATTAAGTTGCTTCGGCGCAATCCCTCGTAACTCGTACATTCGTCTGTGTATTTTTTCATTCTAATTTTTTTCATTTTCATTAAATTTTGGGTTTCGTAGGCACTTTAAACTGTATATACAATATAAGACTTAAAAGTAATGAAAGTAATATTTATATTTACAATGTAGTGTGTGGCAAACGGTCAAGTGACATCAGCTCTATCTCAGAGGGCCTTTGTAAAGCAGTTGCGCTCCTCTGTTGCCGCCCCTGTCACCCAGAGCCTACAACAGTAAAGCATACCAAGGAGCAACAGAAGCGTTCCTACCGACAGTCCAATAATAAGATATGGAGGGGTCCGGTCCGGGGCTGCGGTCCGGTCTGGGGCGGGGTGGGCGTCAAGGTTCCGGTAGGGGTAAGGATTCCGGGTGGGAATGCGGTCAAGTTCCGGGGTAATGCTGCAGTTGGGGTGAAGGTCCTGGCCGGGGTTGTGGCTGTGGTCCGGGATGGGGTCCCGGTCAGGATTGCGGCTGTGGTCCTGGATGGGGTCCGGGGCGGGGTCAGCGGCAAGGTTCCGGTAGGGTAAGGATTCCGGGTGGGAATGCGGTCGAGTTCCGGGATAATGCTGTACTTGGGGTTAAGATCATGGCTGAGGTATAGGTGGGTGTAATTCGCGGTACTGCTGTGGCTGGGTTCCGGTCTGGGGTCCTGGGTGAAGTTGGAATTATAATTACGGTGGGTATTGGGGTTAAAGTTAGGGGTAAAATTAGGATTCCGCTGGGTGTCAGGATTGGGGTCAGGGTTAGAGTTAAGGAACCGGTGGAGGGTGCGCTTCGGGGTAAAATCTGAGAGGTGGTAAGATCTGTGGTTTCGGGTGGAAGTGTGGAACTGCCTGTGGACTCTGACGTAACATTCGATACCATATCTAGTATACCTAATAAAGAGAAACAGTTAAACAGTACTATAAGCCGCGATAAATGTCAGATCATGTATGCGATGTAACAAATGATACAAACTTACAGTCACTCCTAGTACGTATCCTTAAATTCCTAATGGCCCTGCAGTCGAGCTCCGGGTTCTTGCGAAGGTCTATACGCAAAAGGTTTGGAAACACTTTCAGAAGTTCCATTATGTTAATAGTAACAAAACGGTTCTTCCGAAAGTCGACATTCAAGACCCAGTCTCTTTCTGTTTCCCACAGCCCTCCGATCGTTTCCAGTCCTAAACCATTACAGTCCAAAAGACCAAATACATAGACTTCACGACAGCGTGTAGCGCTTGCACATACAAAAAGAAGTGCGCCCAAAGTGTAAAAAAATTTTTTGGAACTATTCACACAACTCAGGTTGCTACGTAGTTTGACTGTTAATTTAGGTTCAGTGTTTGCTGTTATATACGATTGATATTTAATAGCTTAATCATAATGAAACGTTAATTTTCCTGTAACCATATAAACAATCCGAAAACTATGCATAAGTGTGATAACCACTGAATGTGTAAAAAAAACACCAACCGTGATCATAATGCAACAGTAGTGTTTGCTGTATAAATACCGAAACTAATAGTGGTAGTATTGTGTGGTTTCGCAACTAGTGGCAGTCTATGGTGGCGGAATGGCAATGCGTTAGAGTATAAAAGTCCTTAGTCAAAAAGGGTTCGATTCCCTTACTAAGAGCTGGCTAGATGTGAAATCACACTCACACACATATTTTTTATTTTTGAAAAAAAAATTTATTTTGGGATTAAAGTTAGGGGTAGAATTAGGGTTCCGTCGGGCGTTGGACCCTGTGGGGGGTGCAGTTCGGGTTAAAATCTGAGATGTGATAAGCTCAAACAAATATTTGAGATGATGAGATATTGTTCTCATTTCAACATCATTTTTCCGACGCTGGTTCTGGACCGACCCTATTGCAAGAGTAAATGAACACACAGTGTAAAACGTTTCAAATATATATTCATAAACATGATAATACATTTTAATTACATGTTAAATGTTTATATAAATGTTTCAGTTCTGCTGAACATCTGGATAATAACGATTGTAAAACAACGGTACGAAAGATGCCATGGCATCAGGCTGTTTTGGCAATTCCTCAGGACACCATTCAAAATAATCACACCGGTTTTCGTTGCAGCAACAGAAGAACCTTTTACCCGTATTGGGACCTTCAATCTTGGCCAAAAGTTCGTAGAACGACAAAACAAATTCGCAACTTTTTAATATACTTGGGTTTTAAAATCATTTTGCACCTCCCCCCGCTCCCCCCATTCAATGTTGCTCTCCCACATTCCTAGTACACGTACAATTTTGTTGTAGAGTTGGTCAGATCATAAATATACACGAAACGGCAACATTGAATGGGGGTAAGGGGGGAGGCCTTAAAAATGCATAAAAATTTATCGTTGTCCTACGGTTTATGGCCAAGATTGTCTGAAAATTGCTACATGTTCATTTCCACGGAAAATGCATTTAACCTTGTACAAGACACTTGTGCTAATTTATTCTGCATAAAAATATCAAATATGATTGTTATATGTGTTGGCGTCGTGTACTATTTACGTCTTTTACCTTACGTTAAGGTGGCTCTGCTAAGCTGCTCAAGTTATACTTGCTTTCAGGTTACATATAAGGCAATCATGGTCTTACTCTAGTAGAAGTTCGGTACAATCAAACTATCAAAGTTCAATCGCTTTTTTATAAATAGGACCATACTCCTATGAAATATCTGTTTTTAAATATTTATTTCAGTTGTTCATAAAAGAAGGCAATCTATACGATATTAGATTGAAATTAAGCCAATGTGTTTAGATCATTGAGAATTATTTGCGCAAGTAATGTAAACAAAAGAAATTTTCTACTTCATTTTACATAACAAAGAGTAATTGCAAGAGCTTATTGCGATATTATAATGTGCTGCAAATCAATATGTAATTGTTATACGTGGGGGCCGCCGGGCTTTCTGTATTGTGACACTCGTACTCAGTGACAGTATACTCAATGAAACAAGAGCTAAGCGAACATATATGAATTTGCGCAAGTAATGTAAACAAGGGCAATTTTCTCCTTCATTTTACATCAGAAAGAGTAATTGCAAGAGCTTATTGCGCTATAATAATACGCTGCAAATCAATATGTAATTGTTAGACGCGCGGGCCGCCGGGCTTTCTGTATCGTGACACTCAGTACTCAGTGACAGTACTCAAAGAAACAAGAGCTAAGCGAACATATATGATTTCACTGTCTGAAATAAAATGTTTTTAAATGTTGGCATAAGTGTTGCAATTCTGTTTGTTGGTATTTTGTAGGAAAATTGAGCCTTTGGAAAGGACAATCACAGTACTCGCCATAACATGAGTTAAGACAATGTCCTATATCTCATATTAAGTTTGGAGGTTTTAATGAGTAGTGTCAATTATTGCTTCAAATCTACAATTTGTTTTACCTATTTACCATGAGATTGTAAGGACAGTAACAATGAACAAAATGTTGTGTATATTTTATGTATTTATTTACAATCCGGCGAAAAATTAAGCAATTACTGTGAGTACTGTTCATGAGTACTGTCAGTTAGTTATTAAGCTACTAGAGTTCATTTATATGTATATATAGATTAATATTTTGTCCGATACGGCACCAGACTTAATTATTTGGTCAACATCACATCATAAGGACGACCCAATGTTCAATTGTAAAGCCTGACACGGTCTATGCATGCATGCCTCTACAATGGCATCAGCAAAGCTCTTTTTTGTAAGAAATTTCTGAGTGTCCGCTCTGCTGTACGTGCTATAAACACGATTCGTTGTTGCGCACGCGATATATTCCTCATATCTATAATTATGATATGTTGGATCTTACACAGCAAGATTAATTAAAAATTCGGCGTGTGGCGTGTGTAGCTTTAACTGAAAATATGTATACTAAAATATAACTATAATTACGTTGTATCAGTCTGCCTTTATAACCATTACTGTCCGGTTCAAAATAGACATATATGCTATTTGAAGAGAAGATTATGGCCCTACCCAGAAATCCGGCCTCAAATTACAGTATACAATATTTATTAATATCTACCTATCATTCAATATTTAGGAATACCAGAATGAATTTTGAAGTGTTATCCAGTAGTACAAGAACATAAGTACATTTTTGTATATTTCTACAACTGGTGTTCTAAATTTAATACATATATATGTAAAGGATTAAAAACATAATTTTCAGACAATCTTGGCCAAAAGTTCGTAGAACGACAAAACAAATTCGCAACTTTTTAATATACTTGGGTTTTAAAATCATTTTGCACCTCCCCCCATTCAATGTTGCTCTCCCACATTCCTAGTACACGTACAATTTTGTTGTAGAGTTGGTCAGATCATAAATATACACGAAACGGCAACATTGAATGGGGGTAAGGGGGGAGGCCTTAAAAATGCATAAAAATTTATCGTCGTCCTACGGTTTATGGCCAAGATTGTTGTTTCTTGACTCGCTTCACGGCACACGGTTCGTTGTGATAACAGTTGGGTTTCTCGATTTCTTTCTCGTCTGCCCACATCCATAAGGAACAAGGATTCTCCCGACTTGCACACGTAAAACACGGCCACCCATAAGACTTTTTCAGCATGTCTTTAACTACACGAAACTTTGCTGGCTTCCGGTGACTCTCACATATCGGCTGTGTCAAACCCGTGGCTCTCCAAGCTGTTAGAGTCCTCTTCAGTACATAGGAATCCACAGCTGGGCTTCTGTCCACAAAACCAAACGGAGCCTTTGTCTGTAGTTGAATTGGAAGCGGGTTTTCCATGCATACACCCCATTGCTATAACTTTAAAATAAACACTTTACTTTTTTTCCTGCCTTTTATACAAAAAACTCAACCCGGCAAATCATACGTGTTATGCGATACACGTTATGGAACAAGCGCTACGCGACAAATGTCGCGTGAAAAAGTTATGCGATAAATGCTACGCGACAAGTTTCACTGATAGGTGCTATGCGACAACGCTATTAAAATTATATAAAGCAGGTCGAAAAGTGCTCAACATTTCAAAATGTCTTACTGTCTTAAGGATATCGCTGCAATTATTGATATGGATGGATTTTCCATAAATGGGAAATTCCTCTGCAAAGAATTGAGCTTCCTGAAAGTCGGAGAGATACTACAGTACAGCACAATCCTTCTTTTTTGACATCGGTCTGTGTTGGCGTGATTTGACACCGAAAGATCTGAGGACGTACAAGTACGTACAAACTCACATCCATAAACTTCAGTTTGGCGTTCCAGCCGGAATCGATGCCATTCTGTTATCAGCCCTAGAGGAAACAATCAGGAACCTCTACGGTAACATGTGCAAGAACTCACTCCTTGCATACAAGGGTGGGAATTACGAAAAAAACTTACTGGCAGACCTTAACATTCTGTCCGTAAACCTAGAATGCTTCGGTTGCCCAAAAGCGCAAAAACTGTTCGACCAGATGATATGGCTAGAAACCTGCGGAAAACACCTGACTGCCGACGCATACCAACACTGTCCCAAAGTTGAAGTGGAGGCGTACGGATTGTGGCTAATATGTTCCAAAAATGATGTCACTCTTATCCCTAAAAAATGCTGACATCATCTCAAAATATCACACGACAAATGTTACGCGACAATGTTCCAAAAATGACGTCACCCTTATCCCTAAAAAATGTTGACGTCCTATGGCGGGAAAAATGCTGACGTCATATGGCGGGAAAATTTTGTCATATGGGGGGGGCACATCTACTGGCATGTTAATTGAGCACACCTTACCCTTTCTCGAAACGTGTGTTAGCTAAAGGTGTGTTACAGAACACACCTTTTGTGTACACTGTGTTCTGCTCAGCACACCTTGGTGTGTGTTGCTAGATCAGTGACAAGAAAACACACCTTGTGTGCTAGAATAGCACACCTTGTGTGTTAAATAATACACCAAGGTGTGTTGTTTAGCACACCTATTTTTAAGAGTGCATGATTATTAATTGTTTCGTCCAGTAATGTTTCATTAAGACAAATTATGTCGAATTGTTTCTCTTTAATGATCAATATGTTTAATTAAACTTCTAATGTTTAAATGAGCAGTTTGAAAACCGCGTATATGTTTTGTCTTACGATTTATTTTAGGAGCATGCGATTTGTTCGAAAACCATCTTTGTTAGGGTCGGTATATTTGTCATTATTCGTCATTTGAATTTCTGATCTGGGTTTCTTGACCATCTCTGTTTCTCAATTAGGAGTGTTTTTTTAAAAAAGAAGTAATATTTTTTGTTCGCACTGCAGTTCTAAACCTATTAAGATGTAATCCTTAAGAGTTTAAATGTTTGAATGTGATGTTATCATGTCTAATTAAGCACCATTTATTCAATTTACAATAATGTGCTAGGTTTTCATTTACCTCATTAAATTTCTTGGTTATTCCTATCTTATAAAAGTTTTGTTTGTGGAAAGACCACGTAAATTTATTACTGCAGTAATAAAGTTATGTGGTCTTTCCACAAACAAAACTGTTATATGTTTTATCGCCATGCAAACGTACAAAGAACTTTATTCCTGTCTTGTCTGTTCTATTAACAATCTGTATTAACAATCATAAATTCAACATGAAATTTAGTGAGAAATATTAACAAAGACAGGATCCGGCCTAAAGCGAGCTAGCTTGAGTACCCAAGCTGGCTCACCTCGTATAAACAGTGCCTAAGACAAAACTAAAATATTTGTTAAATATTGTGCATTACCAAGTATCTATCATAAAAATAAAAAATAATGCATTAAAATGTATCTTGGAAGTACTTGTAAAATCAATTAGCTATAGTTGAAGTTTCGTTTTTCAGTTTAAGTCGGGTATCATGAACAATACCAATAGTATACTTGTTCAACCCTTCAAATGAGCCAAGGAACGACAAACTAAGTCTCATGAAAGAAAACTCTGAGTTTTGCCTGAGAAAATACTGACCTTAGTCTTACTACATCAGACCTGAAAACTAATGTAAAAGATCTTGAACGTTGTTACATGATGGCTATTATCATGTAATTTTACATATATTAAATATTATTATACTATTATTATATTATACTATAGCTCATACTTAATTATTATATTATAGCTTACATGCATGAGTAAGCAAATAGTTCTAAAGATTAGAGTAAACGCCTTGTCCACAAATAACGTCAACGGACATGAGTGTGGTTAGAGAACTTTGCACCAACGACCGCAGCATTGCGTATGGGAAATGCGTCAAGATGGCAAAGTCATCCTCTGACCAACACTATAAAAGTAGCTTCACGCATCAGTGAACATTATTGATTACGTTATGATTATTAGCATTATGATTAAGAATAGAGAAATGATGAAGGATTAAGGAAGAGTATTCCATGGCTGAAGACGAAGCTGCTTTAACGCGCTGATTAACGTAGAAAGAAAACAACATGGATATCTTCTGGACTATAGTCACTATGATTTATTATGAATATGAACTGTTGCTATATCAAGTTGCAATGCTCACTCGGACAGATAAGTTTTAACATATAGCCTAATTAACCATATTGTCATTCGATACCAAATTGTTATCCCAAAACCTTACCGTGAAGAAGTCTTACGTTTAGCACACGAAACACCCCTTTCAGGACATCTGGGAATAAACAAAACCTATGAGAAAATCATACGACATTTTTATTGGCCTGGAGTTCGAAAAACC